GCTGCTCAGAGCTGCCGCCGCCGCCCGCTCCCCGCCCTGCTCCTTGCCTGGCCGCAGGTCTCGCAGAGGGAGCGCTTGTTGCTGACCCCCAGGCGGGGGTCCAGCACGCCGTTGGGCTGCGGCCGCCGCTCCGGCATCTGCGCCAGGGCACAGGCGCGGCGCGGCGCGGCGCGGTGTGATGGCCGGCGGCGCGGGGCATGAGGGGCTGACACGCGCGCCCTAGCTGCATGCACCGCCCGGCACTCTCTGCCAGCCACGCAGGCGTGGGAAATGCAGCGGCAGGCGGGCGCTGCTGCCAGCGTGCTGCACACCCTCTGCCTCATCCCTGCCACAACACAGCCACCCGGCCTCCCACCTTGTACAGCGCCCGCTCAAACACGTGGAACTCTGCGGTGTTGACAATCTCTGCGGGGCTCATCACGCTGAACTGGATCTGCTTGCTGCAGGCAGGCACAGGCGGCAGCGGCACGCAGCCAGCCCCCAGCGTCACACGCCTGCGCAGCAACGCTCCGCTGCAGGCTGCGCCGCTGCAGGCTAGGCCGCTGCAGGCTGCACCAGCCTCAAGGTGCTGCGCACGCCAGCGCCAAAAGCAGCACCCCAGCTGCCGGCCTACATCTTGCGTGGCACATTGGGCTCCCGGAACGGCTCTTTGCTGGACACCAGGGCGTCATGCTGGACTTTGTCCTTGGGAACGGCCTGCAGGCCAGCATGGGGCGCTTGGAAAAGCAGCGTGGGGCAGCAGCATGCGTCGGTGGCGGTGGCGGCAGCGAGAGGCGGTGGCGCACCTTCTGCCCCGGGCCGCTCGGGCCGGCAGGCGCAGGCGCCTGCTGCATGCTGGTGCCCTCCCCCTAGTGCAGGCGTGTCGTTGCCTGCGGTGCCGGCCTGGCCAAGAAGTTCATTGCATGCGAGGCGAGCACAGGCGAAGCTGGCAGGACGTTGGGCGTGGCCGATTATCGACGCTTGTCCTCAGGCGGCTGTCCTAGGCCGGCAAAGCCTCCTGATGTACAGGTGGCCGAGACGCGGTACATGCCAGTCGAAGACGAGGGAATGGGCACGCCTGGCTGCCCCAGCATCTGCCTAGCAGGCACTGCACCTTCAACGAATCGACAGCCGATCTGCCTTCACTCTCGCAACTCCCTCGAACCGATCGCGTTGTTCTAGCCCCTTTGGGCCGCTGAGCAGGCTCCCATCGTACTTTTGCTGCGTCTTGGCAGCGACATAGGCCCCCCGGGGGCCCACTAGCCGCGGCCACCTGCCTGCCGCCGGCGGGTGGCACCAACTCCCGCCTGGTTCCTCTTCCGGCAAAATGGCGGCGCTGATCCACGCCCCGAGTGGTGGCAGCCTGGCCTACACATTTGTGGATGAGGAGGTGCTGCTGGGGTTCCCAATCTGGGTGGCAGAGCTGGAGCTGCTGGTGAGACGACGGCACGCCTCGATGCCTGGCGCCCGCCGCCCGTTCCTCTACCTCTGCTGCCCCCGGTGCCGCTGCTGCCGTACCGACTGGGCTCCTGGCTGCTGTCGATCCACCACTAGCTGCGGCCAGCATGATTGCGTGGGTGTGCTGGTGCCAACCCTGCATGCCTGGCGCACCGTCCCTGCCCCTTGTGCTCGCCCCGGCAGGTGGGCAATGCGCGGGGCCGCACCAAGCCCGACCAGGTGCAGTGCTTCCAGCTGCTGCAAAAGCTGGTGGTCACGCTGGACCGCAGCAGCCGGCCCGAGGTGAAGGAGTTCCAGCGGCGGTGCGAGGAGGCGGTGGTGGACATACTGCTCAAGGGCGCGCCGCCGCCGGTGAGGCGCTCCCGTGCACTAACAGCGGTGGCATGCTGCGGAGCCAGGGAGCTGTAGCCTCATCGATTGAAGGACAAGAGGCCGTGGAGAGGGTGGCATGCATGCGCCGCCTGCGAGCGTGTGGGGCCAGGCCTCCCACCCGGGGCCCCAGCCCTCATGCACCCGCCATCCCATCGCCCGCCTCCCCCTCCTTGCCCCTCGTTGCTCCCGCCCCGCAGGTGCGCCGTCTGATCTGCCAGGTGCTGGCCAAGCTGTACCTTCTGGGCGACCAGCTGCCCCTCTACTCTCGAGTCTCCAGCCTGCAGCTCTTCCTGGGCACACGCGAGGCGTTCAGGTAGGGGGCGCGGCCGGGCGTGGGGGCTGGCAGGGGATGGGCGGGGCAGGCACGCGGTGGGTGCGCAGCGAGGCTTGCCGCTGCACCACACCTGTGCATGCAATCTCGTGGCAGGCAACACACATCGAACAACTCTCCAGGCGGTGCAGCGGGAACGATCCCCCCGCCTCACCCCTTCCTGCCCCTCCACTCAACTGTTGCCCTCACTCTTCACCCCTGCTCCCTCCCTGCCCCTGCTACCCCACACACCGCAGCAAGGACATGAGCGAGGACATCCGGCTGGGGGCGCTGGAGAGCATGGCTGCTTTGTACTACGCCCAGGGCCGCTTCCTGTCCATAGGCGTCCAGGAGACGGCGGCGGTGGCGGCCAAGTACTGCGCTGCGCGGTGGGTGGGGCCCGGGACTGCTCAGCACTTGCAGCGCCTGGCTGGCTGGGTGCTTTGCACGCATGCTGCATGCGCCGACACAGTACCGCGCACCTACCAGCCAGCTGCTCTCCGCTTTGCCGCAGGCACCTGGGCGAGCGCACGCTGCGCGCGGCGCTGACGCTGCTGGCGGCCGCCGTGGAGGGGGTGGGGGGCGGGCACCGCCACGCTCAGGCGGTACAGCAGGACGTGTTCCGGGCGGTGGAGCGGCTGCTGGGCTCCCGCGACGCGTCCCAGGAGACCAAGCTGGCGTGCGCCGGCGTGCTGCGCGCGCTGGGCGCCTGCGGCGGCGCCTTCCTCTGGGCCTCCAGCCTGGCGGGGTTTGAGGCGGTCAAGGCACTGTGCCTGGCCGGGGTGGAGGATGCCTCGCCCGTGGTGAGGGCCGCGTTTGCGCAGGCGCTGGGCGCCATTGCGGTGGCAAGCACCTCGGGTGAGGAGGGCTGTGTGGGGGGGTTGGGGGCGCGGCGGGGGCGGCCTGCTGGCGCGGCTTCGGGAGTCGCTGTGTGGAGCGAGGAGGGGGCGTGGAGGCGGCTGCCCGGCACGGTGCCGGTCCCAGCCGCCCCCACCACCTCAACTGTCGAGAGCCAGCCCCACCCTCGCTGCCTCGCCCTGCCATGCCAACCTGGTCTGCCGCCCGGCTGCGCCTGCAGATGCCGCCGCCGACTCGGCGCGTGCGTTGGACAAGTGGCCCAAGTATGCGGCGGCGCAGCGCAAGGCGCTGGCCGAGGTGCCCACCGCCTGCCTCACCACACCCTTTGTGGAGGCCGCCTCCTGCTCCAACCGAGCCTCCTGCACCGCGCTGGCCCAGGCCTGGGTGGCCTACCTGGCAGCCAGCCGAGCCGCCATGGAGGAGCAGGCAAGCAAGGCGTTGGGAGGGGCGGGGGGGGGCCAAAGGGAGCAGCACGGCACGGCACGCGGGGCGGCACGGCACGCGGCACTGGGTGGGGCAGCGCGGGGCGGGCGCCTCGCTCGCTGTGGGCCCGCCTGTGCCTGGGTGGAGCCGGCGGGGCGGCGCTCCTGCCAAGGCCTGGCCTGCGGGCAGCGTTCCCCAGCTGCCGGCCTCGGTGCATACCCCCTGCCCTGCCCTGCCCTGCCCTGCGCTGCGCTGCAGGCGTTTGTGGATGTGGCGCTGCGTGTGCTGGAGATGCTGGGGGCGGCCTGCCTAGCGGCTGGCAGCTACCAGGAGGGCTGCATCGTGGCGGGGGAGGGGGAGCTGGGCATGGGGACCGGCAGCGGCGAGCGCCCGCACGCACAGGCAAGCAGGCGGCCGCGGGGCGGCAGACGGGCGGGCCGCCGCGTGCCTGGCGCCTCGCCGGCTGCCCGCGTGCCCCATGCCTGGCGGCGCCTGCGCGCTGTGCCTGCCCTGCGGTCGTCACGCCAGCCACCTCCCCCCGCGCAACCCCACCGCAGGCCTGCGTGCTGTACGTGCTGCGCGTGGGCGTGATTGAGCAGCTGGGCGAGGGCGGGCAGCGGCTGCTGCTGGACCGGCTGGCGGCGGTACTGGGGGCGCCGCTGGGGCAGTACACCCCCGTGGGCGTGGTCACGCTGGAGGCCATGGCCCTGCTGCTGGAGGTGCTGGGGGAGGTGTCGGCCGAGAAGCGGGGAGAGCTGGAGCCGGCGGTGGGCGCCAAAGTGGCGGGGCCGCACGCCTGCCTGCGCCTCCAGGCCGCGGGCGCGGTGGCGGCGCTGGTGGTGGCGGAGCCGTCCAGCGCGGCGCGCCTGCTGGGCGCCTGCCTGACCAACCTGGAGGCCTCTCTGGGCAAGCTGGTGGCGGCCACGGCCTCGGGCCCGCCAGACCGCTCGCGCCCGGCGGTGCCCAGCACGCCGCGCGGCGTGGGCAGCGCCAGGCTCAAGCCCGACATGGACGCAGTGCACGGCTGGGCGCTGACGGGCGGCGCGCTGGTGGCGGCGTCGCGGCGCCTGCCCCTGGGCATCCCCGCCGCGCTCACCGCCGCCGTCGTGCGGTGTGCCACGCGCCTGGTCACGCAGCCGCAGGCGCAGCAGGTGCTTGGCTGCTTGCTCCAGCGCTGCCAGGAGCATGCGTGTGATGCTGTTGTGGCCTCCTGCTCTCCTCACGCATGTGCCCCCTCTGCCTCCCAGCCTCTGCCTCCCACCTCACCCCCCCCGCCCCCCCCCCACACGCTTGCCTGCAGGGCGTGGTGAGCTGCCTGGAGCGGGAGGCGGGCTACATCCTGCTGGGCTCGCTGTGCGCTGCGCTGCCCGGCCAGGTGCTGGACGGCGGCGCGGCTGGCGGCGGCGGCGGGGCGGCGGCGGCGGCGGCCGAGGCGGTGCTGGCGCTGTTTGAGCCGGCGCTGGGCGCGGAAGCTGCCACGGAGCTGGACAGGCGGTACTGCTCCAACGTGGCCAACCTAGACCATGTGGTAGCGGCAGAACTGTGGTGGCGCACCGCGGCGCTGCAGGCGCTGGCGGCGTGCGTGCAGGGGCCGCTGGCGGCGGTCGCGGCCGGGGGCGGCGGCAGCAGCGGTACAGCTCTGTACAAGCGCGCCGCTGCGCTGCTGAAGCCCACCCTGGACGTGCTGACCGCGCACTCGGCGCTCCAGGTGTGTGTGCGTATGTGTAGCGCGGGTGTGTGCCTGCTGCTGCGGTGTGGAGGCTTGTGCTGGGCTGGGCTGTGTGTGCTTCACCCGATGCCCACCTCTCCACATGCACCCGCTCTTTGGCCCGGCCCCCCACCCGCAGGAGCCGGCGCGCGGCAAGGGCGGCCCCAGCGGCATGTTTGCGGGGGCGGCGGCCCTGCTGCAGCTACGCCTGCTGGAGGCGTACGCGGCACTGCCCTCGCCCACAGCATTCGCGGGGGAGCAGGAGGCGCTCACCAAGCTGTGCATGCGCGCAGTCAGGCAAGCCTGGCGCGGCAGCCTGCGCAGTGCACGTGCGGTTTGCTCCTGGCACCAGCTGTTCCCACACCACCACCCCACACCACCGCCACCACCAAGGTCGCCAAGCCTCCAACACACACACACACACACACACCTGCCCCTCCTCCCCCTGCAGGTCAGCCGCCACCGGCAGCGCCGGCCAGATGCTGCACTCTGCACTGCGCCGCTGGCTGGACAGCGGCGACGCGATGCTGGGGCCCTGGCAGCAGGGACGGGACCCGCTGGAGCGGGCCCTGTACGGGTTTGAGGGGGTGGCCGGGGGGCCGCACATCCAGCCCTGGCAGGCGGGCAGCCGGCGCGGCATCGGATATGCAATGGAGGCAGAGGAGGCGGCGGCGGCGGCGGGTGGCACGGCGGGCGGTGCCCCGGCCCCCTCTCCCTACCCACAGCCGCAGGCGCTGGGCGCCGCGCTGCTGGAGGCGCAGCTGGGCCTGCTGGGCCGCATCACCGCCCGCGTGGCGGCAGTCAACCAGGCAGCCATCCTGGATGCGCTCATAGCGATGGTGCAAGGCGGGCCGCAGAGGAAGAAAGACAAGGAGCCAGCCAAGCGGCAGGCGGCGGCCATGGCGGCGGCGGCGGCCGCGCTGGCGGGCGCGGGCGCGCTGGGGTCGAGCGGCCGCGGCGCCGCGGCCGCGTCCGCGGCGGCTGAGCTGGCGCCACGCGTGCGCCAGCTGGCGGACGAGGTGCTGGAGGAGAGCCGGGGCAGCGTGGCGCTGCAGCGCGCCGCCGCGGACCTGTACGCCGCGGCGGCGCAGCTGGGGGGGGATGCAGCCGCCGCTCAGCTGGTGAGGGGACTGTGCAAAGACATGGCGGGAACGGCGTCCCTGAGCCGGCGCGCCGCCCTGGCGCTGGCGGTGGGCGGCGTGGCGCGTGCGGTGGGCGGGCTCAGCCTGCAGCCGGTGCTGGCGGTGGCAACAGAGACGCTGGTGGCGGTGGCGCGCGCCACAGACCAATCCATCAGGTGACCGCCTGGGCTGGGGGCGGCCTGTGGGGCCATGCATGCGCCGCGCCGGGGCTGCCTGTGCCTCGCTGCGGTGGCGCGGGGAGGGCTGCGGTCTGCGGCTCAAGTGGTGCGCGTGCGCCGCGCGTGCCCGCAGCGTGTGGATCCTGCACGCCATGCTGCTGCTGGCCAACGCCGCGGGGCTGGCCTTTGTGCCCCACCTCAAGCACCTGCTCAACCTGGCGGAGGCCAGCCTGCTGTCGGGTGAGGGGCGGCAGGCGGCAGGGTGATGGCGGCGGCGGCGGTGGCGGCGGTGGTGGGAATGGGACATGCTGAGGGGCAGGCCTTCTTAGCAGCAGATTAGCAGCAGATGTGCGATACCCACCCCGACCCACCCCGCTCCATCCGCCCCCTCCCCCCGCCCGCTGCCGCAGAGGCCGCCTACTCGCTGCCCGGCCTGCTGCCGGCTGTGGGGCGGCTGGCCAACGCCAGCGTGGCGCTGCTGGGGCCCGACTACAACTTTGGCTCCCGCCCCTACCTGGTCTGCAAGTCAATCATCAACGACATGCGCGCGCTGGAGGCGGCGGGCGGCGGCGGCGGCGGCGAGGCGGGGTCCTGGGGTGCGGCCGCGCTGCGGGGGCGGCCTTCGCCTGCTGGCCGGCGGCTGGCTGGGTGTTGTTGCTTGTCAAAGGAAGGGTCAGGGCAGGCCTCTGCTGCCCCAGGCGCCTCCCTCGACACCCGCCCAGGCCCCAACCGCGCCTTGCCATTGCCCCGCATCACCCCCCGCGCTCCGCCCCCCCGCAGGCGTGCCCCAGAGCACCGACGACGCCGTGTCTGCCGCGCTGGAGACGGTGCTGTATGCTCAGATGCTGGTGCTGTTTGCGCCGCAGGCGGTGCCCGCCAAGAGCCACCTGCCGGTGCTGGTCAGGTGAGGTGCTGGTGCCAGCAGCTCTGCCCAGGGTGGCGCCCTCGCACGGCACCCGACCCCAGCTGCAGCCCTGCCCTGCTTGGCTGCGCGCTTTGGCAGTGGTGGCAGCACCCCATCCTACCAGAGCCTGCCCGCTCGTCTCCCCCAGCCCCCACCCCCCTCCCCTGCCCCCGCCCCCGCAGCAACCTGCTGTCGCGCCAGCCGCGCCTGCGCAAGGCGGCCGCCGACACGCTGCGCCACCTGGCGGAGCGCGATGCGGGCGCTGTGCTGGCGGAGCGCGTGGAGGCGGCGCTGTTTGCTGCGCTGGACGGCGAGACGGGTGCGCATGTGCCCGGCCCGCCTGCTGCCCTGCTGCCGCGGGTGGTGTCTGCATCACGTCACGGGGCGTGATGCCCCGCCTCCTCTAGCCCTCGGCTCTCTCCCCTCTCAGCATCCACCCTCACCTGCCTGCCCTGCCCCGCCCGGCGCCGCCTCCCCCGCAGACCCAGGCATCGCCTCACAGATCAAGGCCACGCTGAGCACGCTGCTGGCGGCGGGCGCCGCCACCGAGCCCGCCCGCTGGCTCACGCTGTGCGCTGAGGTGGTCATGGCGGCGGCCCCGGGCAGCACCGCCGCGGCAGAGGAGGAGGCGGCCGCCGCTGCGGAGCAGGCGGCCGTCGACAGCGACGACGAGGAGGGGGTGGTGGCGCGGGCGCCGCCGCCGCCGCCGCCCTCGGCGGCGGCCGCAGGCCCTGCCGCCGCCGCCGCCGCGCCGGGCGCCAAGGGCCCTGCGCTGTCCCCGCGGCTGCGCACACGCCTGTTTGCGGCGCAGCTGGTGCTGCGCATCCCGGGGCTGGTGCGCGGCGGCGACCGGCGGCACACCGACCTGGCGGCGGCGGCGGCGGCGGCCAAGGCGGGGCAGGGCGGCGAGTGGCTGGTGCTGCGCCTGCAGCAGCTGGTGGACCTGGCCTTCCGCATGGCCTCGGGGCAGCTGGAGGTGGGCGGCTGCTGTGTGGGTGTGCTGCTGTTCAGTGTGTATGTTGGTTGTTGTTTTTTTGTTGATGTGGTGGTGGTGGTGGCAGGTGCCAATGACCTCGCGTCCGTGCCAGGGCCCCTACACCAAGCGCGGCGCCTGCGCTGGCCGCCTGCTCCCTTGCCCACCTGCCCAATCCCTGGTCCACCCGCCCGCCCACACAATCCCCTCTGCCGCCTGGCCCCTGCAGGCGCTGCGGCCCGCGGGCGTGGCACTGATGTGCGCCGTACTGGAGTGCTGGGGGGAGGCCGAGGACCCTGTGGTGGAGGGCGGGCGCCTGCTGGAGCTGTACCAGGCGCAGATTGTGTCCACGCTGAGGTGCGGTACGGCAGGCGGCGCTGCGGTACGTCAGGCGCCCCCTGCGCATGCCGCCTGCCTGCTGCGTGGCGCCTCGTGCTCGGCAGGAGCTGCCCGGCACGCCTGCCCAACGCGTCACGCAGCATGGGGCAACCACGGGCGCGCGCCCCGCACCCGCCCGCGTGTAGGGCGAGCCTGGCGGAGGGCGCGGCGCCGTCGCTGGCGGCGGAGGGCGCCTCCCTGGCCGCCTCCTTTCTGGACAAGGGGCTGGACGGCGGCGATGCCGCGGTGCTGCAGCGCATGATGGGCCTGCTGGTGGCGCCCCTGGCGCTCTGGGGCGGCGGCGAGCAGGTGGGGGGGTTGGGGAGGGCTGGAGAGGGCAGCGAGGGGAGCGGTGCTGGGGCCTGAGCAGCTGTGCAGCTGCTTTTGACGTCAGGAAATCGCGCCTGCCTGCCACGCCCACGCCCCCCAGCCCACCCTGACCCCACTACCCACCTCCCCTCCCTGTCCCCTCCCCTTGTCCCACAGGAGGCGCTGTATGCTGAGTGGGTGGGGGTGCGCGCCCGTGTGGCGCTGCTGGAGGCGCACGCGCACTGCACCGTGCTGGCGGCGGCGGCGGAGGCGGGTGGCGCCACGGCGCGGGTGGTGCGACAGGCGCAGAGCCCGCACCTGCAGCTGCTGCTGGACAGCTGGATGGGGTGAGTGTGAGTGGGGGGCGAGGCGTGGGGAGCGCCCGGCGAGGTGGCTGTTGGGAGAGCGGCGGCGGTGGTGAGGGCTGGCGCGCTCCCCAGGCCAGGCCCTGCCTGCCACCCGCTGACCCGTCCCATGCCCATGCCTGCTGGTGCCGCCGCAGGCTGCTCCAGGATTATGTGGCGGTGTGCACTCAGCCCGCAGAGGTGTATGCCGGCTACCGCCTGCGCCTGTGCCAGCCGGCACCAGCAGCAGCAGCTTCCGCGCCGCCGGGCGAAACGCCCGCGGCGGCGGAAGCGGCGCCAGACGGCAGCGAGGCCGCCGAGGCTTCCGCCGCCGCAGCAGCGGCCGCCGCTGGCCCCACGCCGGCGGCTGTGCTGGATGCTGTGCGGCCCGCCCTGCTGCGTGCCTGGCCCTCAGCGCTGGATGCAGCCAGCACTGTAGTGGCGGAGCGGCTGCTCCCCGAAGCCGGCGCCACCTCGTCAGCGGCGGCGCAGGAGCGGCACGCCGTGCTGCTGGATGTGTGCCAGATGGCGCTGGGCCAGGCAGCCGAGGCGGCGGTGCTCGCTGCCGTGGGCGACAAGGACGAGCTGGCGCAGGCGCTGGCCGGCGACGGCCTGCCTGTGCTGGGCACGGCCCTGGGTGCGCTGCGCCGCCTGACCGCGCCGCACTTTGCGTCGGCGGGCTGGCTAGCGGGTGATGTGGCGGCTGAGCTGGCGGCGCTGCTGCGCCAGCTGGCGCAGGCTGTGTTGCTGCCGCTGGCCGCCGTCGGGCGGCTGGCTGCCCCCGGACAGGCGGCGGCGCTGGCCGAGGCGGCGGCCGCCGTGCTGCAGCAGCTGCCCGGCGGCAGCAGCTTGCGCGCGGGCGAGGTGGTGGCTGCGGCGCAGGCCTGCCTGCAGCTTGCAGCCAGCGACGGCGGCGGTGGCGGCGCGGCGGTGGCCACCTCCGCCCTGGCTGCAGTGATGCAGCAGCTGCGTGCGGCGGGCCCTCCCGAGGCGTTTGTCCCCTGCCTGAGCCAGGCTCTGGAGCTGGGAGCGGAGCTAGCTGGCTCCAGCCAGCACCAGGAGCAGCTGGCCACTGCAGCAGCCTTCCTAGCCGATGCCGCCGATGCCGCGACCAGCTGGCAGCAGCAGCAGCAGCAGGCTGGCAGCGGCGGCAGCGGCGATAGCGGCGGCGGCGGCAGCGATGGCGGCGAGGGCCTGCCGCCTGTGGACGCCGTGCTGGCGGGAGTGGTGCAGGCGCTGGCGCAGCGGGCCCGGCAGTTTGGCAGGGCGAACGGGGCCGGCAGCGCCAAGGGGCAGCAGCTTGAGGCTGTGCTGGGGGGCTTGCTGTCGCTGGGCGGCGCTCTGGGGCCGGCAGCACACGTTGGCAGCGGCAGCGGCAGCGGCAGCGTTCTCAGCGTGGCAGTACCGAGCGGTGCAGCGCAGCCTGCCGCAGCTGCTGCAGCGTCAGAGGGTATAGATGACGATGAGTGGGGCGATGACCCCTTTGCAGAGGCGGAGCCTGCCCCTGCGGCAGCGGCGGGTCCTGGTGCTGACATGGAGGCAGGCGAGGCGGCTGCCGGCGAGGAAGCTGCCGCTGCTGAGGAGGAGGCAGCTCCTGCCGCTGAGGAGGATCAGGACGAGGAGGATTGGGGTGATGATCCGTTTGGGGACAGCTCGGCGGCAGTGGAAGAAAAGGAGGAAGCAGAGGCGGTTGCTGAAGGGGCTCCCCAGGAAACGGCAGCCCCGCCGTTGCCCGAGCCTGAAGCAGGCGAGGCGGCCGCGGCCGATCCGCAGGCATCGCTGGCAGAGGCGCCAGCGGCAGGGGATGCGGATGGGACGGTGGAGGAGGATCAGATGGAAGAGGCGGGAGCGGAGCCAGGTGCAGCTGCGGTGGCGCCTGAGGCTGTGGTGGGCGAGGCGGAACCGGCAGCAGACAGCGAAGATGAGTGGGGGGACGACCCCTTTGTTGCCAGCTCAGCGGCGGAAGAGGCCCCCGCAGCAGCAGCAGCCCCCTCGCCCGCCGCTCCCGTCTCTTCAGAGGGCGGCAGCGAAGCGCTGGCAGGCCTGTCGCTGACAGACGGCGGCGGCTCCGGTGGGGCGGCTGCGGCCACCTCGCCTGCGGTGGCAGCTGCCCGGCAGCTGGTCCTGGATGTGCTGGCTGAGCTGGCGGGCTGCGGCGACACCGCCCTGCAGCTGCACACCATGGCTGCCCTCCGCGCCTTCTTCCAGCGCCAGCAGGCCGCGGCCGGCGCCAGCCAGCTGGCCTGGGCCCTGCAGTGTGCGGCGGCGGCGCTGCCGGGGGCGCTGGGCCGGGTGCGCGGGCTGATGATGGGCGGCGGCGGCGGCAGGCTGGGGGAGGCCGATGTCCAGGTGGGGCGCTGGGAGGGTGTGGGGCTGCCAGCCTGGTGGGAGGCTGGGTGGAGGCGATCAGGCGCGCGCCTCACCTGCAGCGACGGCATGCGTTGGGGTGGCAAGCCATGGGAACCACCGGCCTGACTCCCCCTGCCCCATCCCGCAGTTTGTGGCTGAGGCGCTCAAGGCGGCCCTGCTGGCGGCTAACCTGGCGGCCGGCAGCGAGGCGGCGCAGGCCTCGCTGCTGCGCCTGCTGGTGCCGGTTCTGGTGGAGGTGGCGGCACCCGAGGCCCCCCCCACTCCTCTGCTGGTGGACATGGCTGTCAAGCTGCTGACGCACCTGGCCTCCAGCCCCGCGGCAGCCGCCTTCCGGGCGGCGGCCGCTGAGCTTCCGGCCGCAGCCAAGCAGCGGCTGGCGGCGGCGCTGGCGGCGGCGGCGGCGGGCGCGGCGGCGGCGCAGCAGCAGGCGGCCGTGGCGGCGCAGCCGGCCAGCGCGCCCATGCAGCGCGCCACGGTCAAGCTCAATTTTGCGGCCTTCAAGAAGTGACAGCCACCCCTGCCCTCAGCTGGCCTCGTTTTTGTTCATGGCTCTGCTTCAGAGTTAAAGCCACCCGATAAGAGAGATGCAAGATATGAGTCGGATGAGAGGATGCAACGCAAACTGCGCATGGCAGACCTCTTGCCAGGGAAGCAACGGCCTCCAGGGCATGGAGGCGTTGCCGGCCTCGGTGTGCGGCGGCCCTCAGGCCCGCGCCGCCATCTGGCGCTGCATGGCGTCGCAGCTGTCGGCGGCAAACTTGCGCTGGAAGGCGCGCAGCAGCGGGTGCGCGGCCGCCGTGATCCAGCTGCCCGGGCGGGACAGAGTGTAGATCTCGTACCACACTGGGCACAGGGGGCAGGGGAGTGGGGCGGGGTGTGGGGAGCTCAGGAGTGGGGGGGGCGCGGCTTGATGCAGCACAGGCGAGTGGCTGGTGCGCGGACAGGGGCGGATGGGCGGGAGGCAGGCGGGCACGCTGGCCCCCGCCACCACAAGCCCCCAGGCTGCGCACCCGAGTCGTCCTGTGCGTTCCAGGCCACGCAGAAGCGCTCCTCGCCGCGGATCTGGTGCCCCTGGAGCGTGGTGTGGGCAAACGCAAAGCGGCGCCCGCGCGGCGGCAGTGCCGCCGCAGCCTCTGCCGCGGCTGCCTGCTGCTGATGCTGCGTGCGCTTGCCGCCGCCAGTCCCCAGAAGCCCCAGCACGCCGCTTCCTCCGCCATGGAGCCGCTGCTGGCGTAGTGAGGCCCCCTCGGCTGCTGTGGGCGGCGCGCCCACCCAGGGCGGCAGCTGCTGGGCATTCCGTCGCAGCCCCCCTTCCTCCACAAAGCTGATGCGCAGCGGGTTGCAGCTCCAGCAGCAGAGGCTGAAGGCGGTGACAACCACAGGCGAGCCGGGCTTGACGGGTGGGGCGTTGACCGAGGCCCAGCCCAGATCAAAGTGGCGCCACTGCTCCAGCAGCGAGCGCGCCCGGCGGTACGCCGCCTGCCCACGCCCCACCTGCGGGCAGTACAGGCGGGGGTTGTGGTGGCGGGTGGTAGCTTGGTGGTGGCAGAGGTCAATGGCACGGCTGGCAGGCTTCCATGTGCACTCTAAGGGTGCAACTGCGGTATAGCCAGGCGACCGGCTGCGCTGGCCAGCAGCGCCCACCTGCACTCTGTTGTGGTCGATCGTCCAGCTCTCGGCCGCCACCGCCTCGGGCAGCGGGGGTGACGTGCGCGTGATGCCCAAGTGGGGGAAGTTGAAGGGCAGGCTGCATGGTGGCGAGCGGGGAGGGGCTGCCAATGTAATGCAAAGTGCGAGCGCGCACTGCGGTAGTCGGCCGCCACCGGCAGCTTGGAACCAGCTGACGGGCAGCTTGCCTGCAGGCGCTGAGCTCCACAGCTGCTCTCTCCTCGGCGCTAGGCTTGCCCAGATAGAATGGGCCTATTTTCAGGACGGGCATTGGGCAGGGTGGCTCACGCACAAGGTGGGTGCTGGAATGGGCTGGCTGTGGATTTCCAGAGATAGCAATTATCGAGATGAAGCCATCAGGCGCACTAGGCGGCCACCAGCGCCTTCCAGTGCGTGCCGAGGGGTGTACGGCGGGTCAGGTACAGCAGCCAAGAGGGATGGAGCGCTTAGCGCGGCGATCGGTCACAGTTGCAGGCTGTCGATTGCATTACACAGCGGCGAGCCACCTCTGCTTGTCTCTTCGCTCTTGTCCTCTCTTCCAGCTCTCTTCCAGGTGCAGCTGCTGCTTGCAACTAGGCGGCAATGCTGCTCTCGTCCCTTCAGCGGCTAGCCGCCGCCTGTGGGCCCTCTGGTTTGGGCCGGGGCGGCATCGCAGTGGCAGCCTCTTGCGGCAGCAGCAGCAGCAGCAGCTCCCTGTGGCAGCAGCTACGGGCCTTCTCCGATGAGGCGGGCAGCGGCGACAAGCCGGGCGAGGAGCCAGCGGCGGCGGCTGCATCCGCCGCCGCTGACGACGTGGCAGGAGGCAGCGAAGGCGGCGACGACGCCCTGGTTGCTGCAGAGGCGGCAGAAGGGGATGAGGAGGTTGAAGAGGTGGACGAGGATGTGCCCTTCGGGTTGATAGGTGGGCCCCGACAGGAGTCTGGAAACCATGGCCGGTCGTGGCACAGCTCAGCTCCCGGCAACCATAGAGCTCTCCGCCCCGTGCCGCCGGCCCCATCCCAATGCCCCCCTGCCCTACCGCCTGCAGACTTTGACAGCGCAGCGGGCACCGGCGGCGGCGTGGTGCCCCCGGAGCTCTTCTCCAAGCGGCAGCGTGCATGGCTGGGCGTGGGGGACCCGGACAAGTACCAGCACTTCCTGCCCGCCCTCTCACGCAAGGAGAAGGGCAGCTTTGCTGACGAGTATGTGGAGGAGGAGTTTGATGTGGAGGTGAGGCAGGCGGCTGTGCTGGGCCGGGCTGTGCCGGGCCGGGCTGGGCCGGGCTGGGCAGGAAGCTTTGTTGTTTCTGGTACGTGGGAAGCTGCTGGGGCGCCTGGGATGCCTGCGCAGCAGGGCTGCAGCGGCGGGCGGCAGGTGGCCACCGAGGGCTGAGCGGCGCGGCCGCCGGGGCTGAACCGTGCTGCCCCTGGTGCCCGCCGCCCTCCCCGCAGCAAGAGCTGTACCCCACTGTCCCCGAGGACAAGCCGCTGTACGACCTGCGAGAGTCGGTGCCAGAAATTTACCAGCCCAGGTGGGGGGGCGGGAGGGAGAGGGCGCGGAGGTTGGCACACTTGGGGTGGCGGGGGCCACGCGCGTGCGCAAGCATCGGGCCTGTGGGCAAGAGCCGCAGCGGGGCAGGGCAAGCGGAAGGGGCGATGAGCAAGGACTGCCGCCTGGCCGTTGGCGCCCACGCAGCTTTGCTGTGCGCTGCCCGCCGCGCCGTGCCCCCCCGCAGGAGTGAGCTGTTTGAGCGGCTGCAGCGGCTGAAGGCAGAGCACCCGGACATGCCCATCCAGCAGTTTGTGAGCGAGGTGGTGGGCATCGGCAGCGCGCCCGAGCAGCCGCCGCGCCCAGGTGCGTGCGTGCGTGTGTATGTGGAGGGTGTGCAGGCGGGCTGGCGGGCGACACAGCTCGGTGCTGGAATCCGGTTGCTTGGCACCAGCGGCTCCCCCGGCCAGGAAGCTGGCCCCAGCCATCCTGCCCCTCCCCCCATTGCGCCGCGCAGGCGCGCGCCCCATCATCCGCTGGCAGATCTGCCACGTGCTGTCGGTGGGCGTGAGCGAGAGCCACCCCGCCAACAAGCGGGTCAAGGCCTGGGTGCACCTGCGGGACCTGCAGCGGGACCAAGGCCTCACAGGTGGGCTGCGGCTGCCGCCTTTGCGGCCCGGCACAACTGCTGCGCGGGCTGGGCAGCCTGGCTGCCTGCTGGTGGCTGCTTCGGCTGCTGCCCAGCCTTGTGCCACATATACCCTGCGCACCAAAGCCGCTGCCGCCCGCGCGGCGCCGCGCCGCGCCTTGCACCCGCAGACGCGGCGCTGCGGCACATTGCCGCCATCTGCGGCCCGCGCTACGACCCCAACCGAGGCGAGCTCAAGCTGACCAGCGACCGCTACCCGCACAGGGAGGCCAACCGAGCCCACATCCTGCGGGTGGGTGGACACCTGCCTGTTGGTGGCCTGCCAGTGGCTGTTGCCGCTGGCGGCCTGGGCGCAGCCTGCCCGACCCAGTGGCGCCGCTCAGCAAGCCGACGGCCCCCTGGCGGTCTCCTGTGCTCACCGTCACACGGCACCTCCCCTGCGCCTGCCTGCGCTGCCACACCACACCGCTGCAGATCATCAAGGAGTTGGTGAAGGAGGGGCACCGCAAGCACCCCAAGCAGCAGCAGCAGCAGCAGCAGCAGCAGCAAGCAGATGCGACGTCCTAGGCACCCTGGGGAGCAGCACGGCAGCAAGGCCTGGGATGTGGCTTGCGTTGAGCTGTAACTCCCAGTGAACTGCCCAGCATGTGAGCATGTCGTGGCGAGAGGAAGCAGGGAGGCAGAGCAGTTGGCACCCCCCCTCGAGCGGGCGCGGAAGGCGGGGTGCGGGGCAGGGGAGGGCACTGCAGGTGCCAGGGGAGAGGAGCACCACAGAGGGTGCGAGTGAGAATGGGCTGCAGGAGGCCTCTAGTGCGCTGGTGGCGGTTCTGCAACCCCAGGCGCCACGCTGGCCTCGCTGCTTCACAGCATGGACGTGCGGTACTTCCTTTGCTCTACTGTTCCTTTCTGGTTGGTCTGCACGGCATGCGTTTTGATCCTTGGCTGTGCTTTACACCTTATGTTTGTGACCTTTGGGCCGGTTTACAGATGCACTGGCGCAGTACAGGATGTGTGCTGTGGATGAATGGCAGTGCCCAGGCGCACATGCAGGAGTGGGCGGCACCGACACGAGGGTGGGCAATGCAGCCGCCAGCTGGCGAGCGCCGCCACGTGCAGCTGGGAGGCTGCAGGCGCGCGCGCACAGCGCTCAGCCCTGCAGCAGCCTGCGCCCGCCGCCGCTGGCCGCCTGCACGACGGCGGGCTGGGCCAGGGCGGGGGGCGCCACGGCGGCGGCGGCCTGGCTGGCGATGACGAAGCCGCTGGCCAGCGGTACCGTGACGGAGCTGAAGTCGAGGTAGGCTGGCGCCTGCCCCACAGCCACCTCGGGGCTTCTCAGCAGTGCGCAGTAGCCGTAGGGGAAGGTGGTGCGGTCCGGCATGGCGCAGCCGCCCTTCTGCGAGCAGTAGCGCCAGGCGTTGCAGCCGGGGGTGGCGGCGCACGAGTCGCAGCAGGCGCCGATGGTGGCCTGCACGGCGTGGTGGGGGGCATGGCGGGGAGGCATGGGTGGGGTGGGGGTGGGGGTGCGGGGGCAGCAGCTTGGCCGGGTGCTGCTGCACAGGCTTGGCCTGGCGTGCAATCCAGCCCGTGGCACGGCAGCGGCCTCCTCCCTGGGGCCCCGCACCGCCCCACCTGTCGGTTGGCGGCCCCGGGCTTGACCTCCTGCCCCGCGATCATCGCGTTGGGCTGCACCCCGCAGCCGCGCGCGCCCAGCATGGCGGCGGCCGCCGTGAAGTCGGTGGGCAGGACGGCGGCGGGGTCAAAGGGGAGCAGCACGGAGTCGATGAGTGCGATGTATGCCTTGCAGGCCGGCACGTCAGACTGCGTGGGAGCAGGGGCCGAGGGAGCGGGCAACGTGGTGGGTGGAGGGAGGGCAAGAGAGCGGGTGGGAAGCCGCGGCACGCGGCGGGAGGCGCCTGCCGCTCCCTCCCCGCCTTGCCTGCAGCACGCTGGCGGAGCTGAAGGGGCTCTGGATGGCGAACCCGGCGATGCCGCCCTCCCAGGTGACGCCGGGGGGCAGCGCAAACCTCGGGGCTGCGGGCGCGGCACGCGGCGGCGGGCAGCAGCGGTGGCATGCCCGCAACCAAGTGCCACAACCAAGTGCCACGCGCAGGACAAAGGACCGCAACCCAACGCATGCTCCGCTGTGGCGCCCTGCGGCGCCCGGCTGGCACCCGCGTGCTCTGCTCACTGGACAGCGTCTGGGGGCCATCGTACAGCGTGTACAGCTTGGGGCCCAGGGAGAGGAAGGGGGAGGTCCACAGGCCGCGCCGCACCGGCTCGGGAGGCAGGATGTGGAACTTGAGCAGCTGCTGCAGGGCGGCGGGGTTCTGGAGCAGGCCCTCTGCAGGCAGGCGCATGGGTGGGGGTGCGCAGGAGGGTGCAGGGCAGGCAGGGGCTGGGACAGAAGACGGGGAGGCACTGGACAGCAACACAGCCTGCGCCGTCGGCTGGTGAGAGCAGCAGCCAGTTCATACGCCTGGCGCCTGCCCACTGCGCTGCGCCACGCTCACGGTACTTGGCCAGCGCGGCGTCAAAGGCGGCGTCAGTGGGCACCAGCAGCGTGCCCGTGAAGCCGGGGTTGAGCAGCAGGGCGGTGAGGCCGGGGGAGGTGGCGTTGGCGGCCTGGGGGCGGGGGGAGGGGGCAGGGAGGCGCGCGGCAGTGTAGGCCCCGGGGCTGGTAAGCTGCCAGCACGGGCAGCTCTGGCGGCAGGTCATGGGCGGGGCCCCCAGGCCCCATGCCCAGGTCTTTGCCTGCCCAAGCGCGCGCACACCTGGAGGAAGCGGGTGGCCCCCAGCTGCGCCAGCACGTCGTGGGCCGGCTGGCAGCAGCTGCACCGCGAGCAGGACATCTGGCAGAAGCCCTCTGGCGCCAGCTCGGCGTTGGCGTCAAACATGTAGGCCTGGTTGCAGTTGCCGTAGTGACGCTGGTACAGGCAGGTGTAGGAGATGCTCTGGGTGGCCTCGCCGCGCGGGTCGGCGTCAGAGCACTGGCACTTGAGGTCGATGGGGGCGGGCGCGGCGTCGTCGTTGGCCTGCACCGGCACCGTCTTGCGCTCCTCGCCTGCGGGCCATGCGGCGGTGGTCGGCGGGCGCGGCAGGGCGGCGCGCTCAAGGTCAGGCGCCGCTGCGGGCACGGCGCAGCGGCTGGGGTGCAGCTGCGACTGCGCTGCGACTGAGTGGGCGCTCGGCACCGCCGCTTGCCGCCACTCCCTCCTGCTGGCTGCCTGCCGCGACGCTCGCCGCCGCACCAGAAGGGTAGTTGATCAGCGTGTCGATGCCCCATACGTCCTTGCCCGAGCCGGCATGGCAGCAGACCAGCAGGCCTGCACGACAGCGGCGTGTGTGTCGAGTTTCTGGCGGCGGCAGGCCCTGCGGCTGCAAGCAGCTTTGGAGGCTGCCTGGCCCGGCGGCGCACAGAGCGGGCCGCCGCTCGCCCTACCCGCAACCAGGGCCACGCCGAGGAGGCCCCTCATGGCCGTGCGACGGCGTGGGAGGCCGCGAAGCTGATGGGGAAGCTTTTGAGTGCGCTGATGGAGCAGCCAAATCGAAGCCAAGCAACGCGCGCAAGCAATGGGCAGATCACCGCTGCACAATCAGGAGCGAGCAAACAAAGCCGTGCTCTTGGACGCTCCCAGACCAGCGCTTGCGCCGTACGTGGGCAGGACAGCCCGACTCCGGCCCCCTGATGCCTGACTGCAGATCTGCCTCAGTGATCGCCTCTGTAGATTGCCCCGCGATCCAGCGAGTCGGAAGAGGAGGATGACCGTCTTCGTGGATGTCAGCGGAATGTCCTGCCTGGGCGTGGACTGCTATGGTGAGCGCAGATTTCGGGCTTCCTGGCCCTGCGGCGCGCGCCCGTGCCCCCGCCGGTCAACCGCGCACTGTGACCAGTCGGCGCCGCCAGCGTCCCCTCGCCTCCTGCCGCTTGCCGTTGTGCGCAGGTGGCATGGAGGAGTACTATGCCAAGCGGGATGGAAAGGAGCCCCCCGTCAATTACTACAGGCCTCGCATCGGTAATGTCGCACCCCGCACGGACGGCTGGACGCCCGCCCGGGCCAACACGCAGACGCCGCCACGCACGGGTCCGGTGAGCGGGCAGTGTGCGGCCAGCCCTGTGCCCTCGTGGCGCGCCAGCCCCAACAGGCAGGTCATCTGATGCGGTTCCAACATGTGCGTGCGATGCAGGCCAAAAATCAGAAGCCAGCAGTTCAGCAGCCGCGCGGTCCCATGTGGGTCACGTGCCACCCAGCGCAGCCAGCTCTGGTGCCTACCCAAGCATCCTGCCAGCCCATGCTGCTCAGGGATGCATGCATGCGGATGCTCTGTGCTGCAGGTTTGGGCCGGAACAAGGCAAGGTGCTGCCATCTTGAGTCGCTGCATATGGAGGAGCTGTAGGGCACATTGGGCAGCGCAGGCAATGGTTCCCCTTCCTCGGCTGCCCTCACCAACAAACAGCCTGCCAACTAGCCAGGTGTCTCTCCTGTTACATCATTCCATCAGCACCATTGATGTAATGTCAAACGCAGCGCCAGAGCTTACCAGATCGTAGTACCAGAGAAGGTTTAGACTGGCGGAAGATCGAGGGCCTGCGCATGTGCATAGCTTTAGCCACCACCTGCTGCGCTGCTGCCCTGGTAGTTTGCGGCAGGGTAGTTGGCGCCAGCAGAGTGCGGCTGCGCAAAGCTGCCACTGTGGTAGCGCTGCATAGATCCCTGGTGCTGCAGCTGCGGCAACTGCTGCTGCTGCTGCCATTGAGCAATGTACGCTGACTGCCGCTGTCCACTGATGGCCGGCAGCTGCCAGTAGGCAGAATGGGGATGCTCCGCCTGCTGCTGCGCCTGAGGGTGGGTCCATGAAGGGAAGTATGTGGCGCTGCTTGGCGCCGCAGCAGGCACTGGCGCTTGTCCAGCCCCCGCCCCGGGCAGCACCTGCCACTTCCTTCGCTCGCTCCCCGCCAGCTGCTGCATGCTCTGCTGCCGGTGCAGCAGATGCTGGCTGTGCTGCCTCTGAAGCTGCTGGCTGTGCTGCCTCTGAAGGTGTTGGCTGTGCTGCCTCTGTAGCAGCTGCTGCTGCGCAGCCATCTGCATGGCCAGGTGAGCCTGCCCCTGGTGTTGTGCGGCTACATGGGCCGCATACTGGCCCTGTGAGTGAGCATAAGCTGCCGCCTGCTGCTGCTGCCACCAGCTGGGCGCATTGGCTGCTGGGCTATGTTGCGAGCCTGGGCCATACCAGCCATGCTGCAGGGCATCAGGATGCTGCTGGCTCGACGCGTACTGCACTGCCCCCGGCATCCCGACATGCAGTGCTGCGTGTTGCCCTGCATACTGCTGCTGAGGCTGCAGCTGCACCCACTGGCCTGCCCGCTGCTGCATCTGCTCCGTTGGCAACAGCTGGCCCGCCTCCTGTGGGCTGAGGGGAGCAGCCGCCGCGGTGGGTGCAGACGCCTCGGCACCGCCTGTGGAAACTGCTGCGCTTGTAGGAGCAGCTGAGATGCCTGGAGGTCCCTGCTCCACTGTTGCAGGAGCTGGGAGTGTGGGACGTAAGCGCTCAGGCTCTGCTTGAAGCTGATCTGACGAAGATGCCCCCCTTGCTGCTGACATCTGCTGCAGCGCCTGCTGATCGGCCGTCGGCTCTGCTGTGTGCTGCTGGGAGCCCCTGCGCCGCGACTTGGCCAGATGGCCTGCACCTGTCCGCATGCGCAGCTCGTGAAGCTGGGCTGCCGGGCTGCCATCGCCCCTGCAGGCCTCCCATGCTGCTGCATGTGAGCCCGGCAGCGGTGGCAGCCTCTGGCTGGCAGCATCCCGCCGCTCTGGAGAGTGCGAGTGGCGCAGGCCTGCAGGCAGCCTCCACTGGATGCCTCCGTCCTGCTGCTCGCTGTCGCTGCGTGCCCTGCAGACCAGCGTACATAGCATGGGGTCCAGGGTCTGTGTGGGGCGGCATGCCATGGATGTTGCTTGCCCTGGGAAACACGCATTCGGGCGACCTACCTGTGTAGCGCCGCCAGCCGCTCCAGCGACTCAACAAACGAAGGGTGAGGCACCGTCCTGCGCCTCCCCTGTCTTCCAGTTGGCGCAGGGTTGCCGCTTGCATGCTGCTGGCCTCGAGGCGGTGACGGCTTGGGCGAAGCATGCAAGTATGCTGCGGCTGGGCTGCTGGCGCTGCTGGCAGGACTACTGGTGTTGGAGTGAACCATCACATTTTCTGCAGCGCAGGCGGTGCCAATCAGGCCTTTGTCGATCTGTGATCTTGAGAGCCCCATCATGAAGCTGATGAGATGGACGGCACCAAGCACGCCCACCTCGGTCTGCTGCCTCCACTTCCTTGCTTGGCTGCTGCTCGCCTGGCGCCTGGCTCAGCATCTCGCCCAGGCTCAGCCCTGCACCGCGGCAGGCAGGAGACATGCCACATGTGTATCACCCTGCCCGATGCATATTCAACAGGGACATCCAGCACGGCCCAGCCCTGCATTCTTGCGCACCTCCCAGGCTGCCCCACGCTTCCTGTTGCCGCATCTGAGCCTGCGTCATCCCTCGCTGCCTTCGATGCAACGGTGCCTGCTGGCCAATTTGTGGCGCTTGCGACGCAGATGCTATTGACGCTGGCACCTGAACTGCGCCTCCGGACGGCTCTGTGCTGGGCCCGTCTGCACCGGTGTCAGCTGACGTGTCAGCCATCGCTGCTGCGCCAGTGCCAGGCCTGCCCTCTGCTGCTTCTGCTGCCCCTGCCATCCCGTTGGAGCTGGGCCTGCCCTCTGAAATCGTGGGCAGCGCCCCAGGGGCCTCAACATCCTGCAGCAGCCCAGTGCAATGGTGATCAGGGGGCTACCAATGTCGGTTAGTGGGTCTCAAGGACAACTGCTGAAAAAACAATAACTGCACCTGACTATGCTGCCAGCCAGGCGCACTGCTGCCAAAGTCGGAGAGCCACTATGAGCGCCGTTGGCGGCGCAGAGCAGCCAAGCGCTTGGCTCCCTGGCTCAGCTCGGAAGATGCGCTGCGTTGGTGGTCGTGCCTGCTGGGCTGCATCAGCTGCCATTGCAGTTGCCCGGCTGGGAAGCGTGGCAACAGGCAGCGCCGCGCTGCTGCTGGCCGGCGGCGCTTCCTCCTGTGCCGGCGCCCACTCCTGCACTGACCTTGCCCGGCGGCTGTGCAGCGGCTGGCGCGTGGCCTGCCCCAGGCGCACCAGGGATGCCGATTCTCGCAAGCTGAGCATGTCGGCAGGCAGCTGGGCGCGCGGCGGCCGCTGCATCAGCAGGGGAGACCTGCCCGCAGGGGAGACCGGCGACGGCTGCCCGATGGGTGGTGTGGCCAGGCTGCGTCGTCCTTCCGCTAAGCCTCCCCCTGACAGCCTCTGCGCTGGCAACTCTGGCAGCCGTGTATCGCTGCCATGGCCTGTGGGTGTGCCTGAGGCAGCCCAAGGGGCCAGTGCGATCCCCAAGTCACCGCTGCTGTGGCTGTTGCTTGCACTGCGGGGTTGCTGCGCAACCTCAGCGCTAATCCCCAGCTCTCCGCCTCCAGCTCGACCAACAACATCTGGCTGCTGCTGGGCTGCCACACGCTGCGCTGCCGCCGCCAGCACTCGCGGCGTCAGGCGAGCCGCCAGCGGGCGCTCTTGCGTTCCGCCCCAGCCCACCTCTTGCTGATCAGCCTGCTCTGCGCCCATGCTCTGCGCACGCTCACCACCCCGGAAACCTGCCCTGCTGTCCTGGCCCTGGCCCTGGGCTGGCTTGGGGGCCGCCTTTGCACCGGCCGGCTGGCTGCTGTTGGCGGTGTTGGAGCCCAGGTGGGTCTCCAGCAGATGCAGGGGCCTGGTGCTGCGCCAGGGGGCCAATGCTGGACTGCTTGCTTGCGGCAGAGCCCCCGCCTACTTCTGCCGCTACTGCTGCCTCCATGGCAGGCTCCTCTGCCACGGCTAACACTGCCTCTGCCACTGCCACCCTGCTCTTTGCCGCCGAAGGCTGCTTGCGCAGCTGTAGCCGGGTGCCTTGCCGCTTGGTGGCCTTGGCCAGGCGCCGTGGCGACCTGCTGGCCTGCTTGCCAGTGGCTCCACCTGGCGCAGGTGCCGCCATTTCCAGTACTGGCGACTTGGCAGCCAGCAGCAGCGTGTGCAGCTGCTCCTTGCTGGGCGAGCGGTGCGCCGGCAGCGCAGTGTATTGCTGCTCCAGAGCGGCCAGCTCCGCGGGCAGGGTGCCCAGCAAGATCCGGCGCGGGGTGGCCAGCGCGAGGACTTGGGCACCAGGGCTGGCCTGCTCGACTCGTTGCAGCTGGGGCGACCAGCTCGTGGGCGGCTGGGTGGGCTGCGGCGGCGAGGCGGGTGCCGCTGCCGGCTGGGCGCCCTGCCGCGGCTCAGGTGCCGCTCGCGACCTGCCGCCCAGCAGCAGGCGTCGCTTGATGGTCTGCAGGAGCGCCATTTGGGAATAAGGAGGAGCCGTCGGCTGGTCAATGTTTGCGCAGGAGGTAAAACAGGGGGAGCCGATGCTGCAGAACGACTCTGCCGGCGTTGCAGCCCCCCAATTGTTGTTTGCGAAAGGTATGGAGCCCCAAGGACGTCCTAGGAATCGTGCTGACTGTGAACCACGGCAGACACACCCAGCTGGGCCCAGAAGGCGAGAGCGCGCTCGGCAACCAATGACCTCAACCTGCAGGCAGCACTCATGTCGCTAGCCGTCGCTGAGGCTGCTTATGCTTGCAGAGCGACGGCAGAGCGCCCCGCTGCACCCACCCCACGGCAGAAACGGCTGCTCAGGAACAAGCGGCAGCACAGCAGAGAGCTTGAGCAGCGCCGCAAGGAGCAAAGGCTACCGCAGAAGCAGGAGCAGCAGCAGGAACCCCCGTCCCCGCCGCCGCCTGCCGGCTACGGGGGCCCCGAGCTCCAGTGCCCACACTTTGCCTCCTGCTCTGGCTGCACCGTCGACACAGGACTGGATGCCCCGCCGCTGCTGCATGAGGCGCGAGCCTTCTTTGAGCGTGACTGCGGGCTGCCAGCCTTCACGCTGCACGTCGGCAACATCCACGGCTGGCGCCAGCGGGCACGTCTCGCCGTGCGGCGCGGCACCGAAGGCCAGACAGTGATCGGGCTGTTTGAGGAGCGCACTCACATGGCCACTGCCATCCCCTCGTGCGTGTGAGTGTGCAGCAGCAGGCCTGCTTATGGCCGAAGCCTGGCCGGGCGTCCGTCTGCCAGCTGGTCCACCACCCCTGCCCGCTGTTATGCCCATGCAGGGTGCACCACCCCGCAATCAACGAGGCAGCTGCGCTGCTGCAGCAGGCTGTGGAGGCCTGTGGGGTGGAGCCTTATGACGAAGGTCAGCGCACAGGCCAGCTGCGCTATGTGCAGCTCACCGCCGTGCAGCAGCGGGACAGCGGCGGTGCGGCGCTAGCGCCTGCGGTGCAGCTGGTCCTGGTGTGGAACTCGCATAGGGGCACCACACAGCAGCAGCAGCAGGGCAATGGCAGCAGCAGCGGCAGCGGCAGCAGCAGCAGCAGCAGCAGGCTGGCCTCCCTGGCCGACCAATTGTGGCGGGTAGGGCAGCGGCGGCCTGATGGCACCCCGCTGCTGCACTCTTTGTGGGCCAACTTCCAGCCGGAACGAAGCAACAAGATACTGGGGCCCGAGTGGAGGCTGCTGCACGGCCCCGACCTAGCGTGGGCGCGGCTGGGCGGTGCGGACATCGCCTTTGGGCCGGGCTCGTTCATGCAGGTGCGCAGCAGTGCGCATCCGTTGCCTCGGGCCTGCTATCTTTTCTGCTTGTGCATGCACATGTCTTTCATTCGGCTCCGAAATCTGCCGGGGGCCCTGCAACCTTGCTCACCCCGCTGTGCTTGCCTGCCTGCAGGCCAACCGTGAGGCCATGGACTGCTGCCTGGCTGTGATGCAGCAGTATGTGGCGCCCGGCAGCACCATTGCCGACTTGCATGCCGGTGTGGGCACCATCGGGCTGTCGCTGGCGGCCACGTGCCGGCCGCGCTGGGTGCGCTTTGTGGAGATCAACGGCCATGGCCTGCCGCCCTTCAGGCAGTCGGGTGCTCGTCTGCGGCTGCGGCTGCTGGAGCGAGGCGAGGCCCCACAGCTGGACTACCATGTGGCAGCAGCAGGCAGCGACCCCGGTCGATGGTGCCATGGCGCCGAGGTGGTGGTGTGCGACCCGCCCCGCAAGGGCCTGGAGGCGGCGCTGCTGGGTTGGCTGTGCAGCCCCGCCGCCGCGGCAGCCGGGGTGCGCAGCCTGCTGTACCTGTCGTGCGGCTTTCCTGCCCTCCAGCACGATGCGGCGCAGCTGCTGGGCAGCGGGCGGTGGCGGCTGCGGCATGCCCGCGGGTTCGCCTTCTTCCCGGGGGCATCGCACGTCGAGACGCTGGCGGTGTTTGACGTGGTGCAGCAGGGGTAGGCACGGTGGCGCCCAGGCCGTCCACTGGCATTTCCTTGTACTTGATTCTGGTGTAAGTGAACTCTCTGAGCAGAGAGATCTCAGAAATTGCAGATAACTGTGGGGAGCTTGGCGACGGCACCCGCCGTGCTGTGCGCGCTGACCCTGCTGGGACTCCGCGTTGCATCTAGGGCTGGGCACGAATTCGAAGGCACGAATCTATAGAATTCGCGAAGACGGTTCTTAATGCCATAGAGGAGGTCCTGGCACGCCTTCCAGCCAAAAGAAGGCTGGTGATGGCCTTCTTATCGCCATATCGGCCCCCAGCTTCAACCCACCTCAGGTGGGCCTCTCAAGGGCCCTGTATTCGTGTTCTTTGGCTCTGGGACGCCTGGAAGTGCATAAAAGCTGAGCGAGCTGCTGCAGAGGCATTCCTCCCTTCCCGCCTGCCGCCCACTGTCGCCCTTGCGCCCGCCTGCCGTGTGCCCAGATGTCGCTGCCAGCAGTGCTGCCCGGCGCTTCCCCCATGTGTGCCCAACCATTCCTGTTCCACAGAAGAGCCGCGAGCTGACGGACGGCATGGTGCGTGTGGTAGGCATGGCCGACGTGCGCCTGATTTGGAAGAGCGAGCTGAGCCAAATGTACCCCAAGCTGGCGGCCGTGGCGGGGAAGCTGCTGTCGCTGCATGCCACAGCCTGCAGCGTGGAGCGGATGTGGATCTCTGTGCGTTGGGTGCTGCGCGACAACCGCCTCAGCATGGTGGGCAAGACGGTGCAGAACCTCGTGTTTGTGTCCGCCGCACGCCGCCTGCGTGAATCGCTAGCGGCAGACGAGCCCAGCGACGGCGACCTGCTGCTGGCCGACCTGGTGGCAGAGGAGGAGGCCCAGGCCATCAGGACGGCGGCGGCGGTGGCGGCAGTGGCCGCAGCGCAGGGCGCCAACACCTGACCTGCTGAGCAGCAGGCGCCTGTGAACGGGCGGCGGCGGCGGCGGCGGCAGCTTCAACTTGCCTATTTAATGCCTTAGCCCCACAATTCAGCCTTCACGCCCCAAAGGCTAAATTCAACACCCCAAATTCGCGAATGCAAGCTCGAATTGACTAGATAATGCCTTCAGGGCTTCAGAGCGGGCTGACGTGCCTTAGGACCCAGCCCTAGTTGCATCCACTGAAGTCGGCGTTATCCGATGAATTGCTGCAAAGTTGGCGATCGCAGGATCTTAGACCGTGTGATTACAGTACCGGGACTTGGGGCACTGGGCGCGGAGACCACAGCTCCTTGCCGAGCTTCAGGAGTTCCCTGGGCGCCGTTCCCTGCCAGATCGCATTAAAGGCGCCTCCTGACTTTCGGCATGGCAATGACACGCCCCGCCGTCTCGCTGCTCGCCGCAGCGTTGGTGGTCTTCCTCGCCCTCACCCCGGGCTGGGCTCAAATGCTGGACGCTACGTCAGAAGGTGGGTCCATTGGCCTACTGCAGTGTGATTTCGTGGGATTCGCTGGCCCCTGACAGGCCAGCATGGATGGGCATGCCGTCGCCGCCGGGCCGTGGCGAGGCAGGCAGCGATGTCACTGCCACGCTGCTTTCGTGCATCCCTTGCAGAGGAGGTCATCGCCACCCTAAAGGCCCTTCCCGGCTGTCGGGACCTGGATGTGGCAAACCTGCAGAGCCCGCCGGTGTGTCAGGAGTGGTCCACACAGGCTGCATCCGTTGCATGCCCACCAGAGTGCGGCGAGTTCTTCGAGAAGGTTGGGGCGGAGTGCCTTGTGAACATGGGCCTCTTCATCAACGAGCTGATGGGGGTGACCATCCCCGCTGAGGAGTACACCCAGACCGTCATGGACCAGTACGACTCCTGCCTGGCGGGCGAACTTATCAACTCCACGTCTCCAGAAATGCTGCAGGCGAGGCCTGCACCGGCACCTGGCAGCCTCTTGCTGTTCCCTGAGCTGCCTGCTTGGCCACGGCGCTTGTTTGACCTTTGTTGAAAGCCGGCTGCACCTGGCCTGCGCCTTGCAGGAGGCCTTCAGCGCCTACCCGACTTGTGCGGGTTCGGACTGGGAGCTGGCGGCCTGCCCAGACGCCCAGAATTGCTACGCCCAAACGCTGGCCGGCCTCAGCGCCCAGCTGTCGGTAGAGAGCGCGTGTGCCACATCCAGCTCCTGCGGGATGCTGATCGCTGCCATGGGCTCTGAGTGCCTGGCCGACGTCAGTGTCGGCCTGCTCAACCGGACTGGACTGATCTCCTCGTTTGGCTCTGCCGAACAGGCCAAGGAGCTGCTGTGAGCCGTTGCCGCCACTGCTGCCGTTGCCGCCGTTGCCGCCACTGCTTGGTTGAATGGTTGGAGGCAGTCCACCCCCACCACTGTAGCCTGTGCATGGAGCAGGACTGCTACATACCAGCAGACATGCTTACTTTGTGCATGAAGCAATGGGATGCCTGATGCGTTTGCTTCCCTGGCTCACACACTATGCCCTCCCCGCCCATGTCTGTGCAGGATGGGAAATTATGAGGACTGCGCTGCTGCCTCGCTTCCATTCACCCACTGCAACGCCACCAGCAGCATCACTTAACCTTAAGCCCAACATACCTCACGTGCCTGTAAGCCGCCCAACTCCCATAGCTTGCATGGCGAGCCTTACAAATCAAGTAGCTTTCCAGGCTAGCGAAACCACAGAAACAAGGCTGTGGCCGTGGTGCCCAGCAGCCCAACCGGTGACAGCACGCACTGATGGAGCCAAGCATGCCGCCGCAGCCGCCGCACGAGCTGCTCTACCTGTGCCCTCAGCTCCTGCTGGGTGCCGTCATTCTCCAGCACCACGCCCGCCAGCCGCCGCTTGGCCTCCACCGGCATCTGTGCAGCGATGCGTGCCTGTGCTGCCGCCTGTGCCAGCCCATCCCGCTCCCTGAGCCGCTGCAGCTGGATTGCGGGGCTGCACGCCACCAGCACGTTGGGGCTGGTGAGCCTCGCGAAGCCCGTTTCGAACAGAAGAGGCATGTCGACTACAAGCACCGGGCGGCACCGCAGCCAGGCGAGCAGCGCGAGGCGCGCCAGCTCTGCGCCGACGGCGGGGTGGGTGGCGGCATTCAGGCGCCGGCGCTGCTGGGCATCGTGGAACACGAGCGCCGCCAGCGCCTCGCGGTCAATCTCGCCATCGCTGCGCAGGATGGTGGGCCCAAACGCCGCCACCACGCGGCGGTAGCCCCAGCGACCCTGCAGAGGGGAGTGGAGTGGCTCCTGGCTTGGGCGAGCCCGCGGCACACACTAGAGCCTTCACGGCACAGCCACCCTACCTACCTTCTCTGTGACGCTGTGAGCGATCCGGTCTGCATCCAGCACTGGGATCCCGGCCTGGACCAGCAGCTTACTGACGGTGCTTTTGCCGCAGGCGATCCCGCCTGCACAGAGGAGCGGCGGCAGCGAGCGGTGCAAGACGCAGCAAGAAGTGCGAGCGATCAGGGCCTCTGCCCTGATGTTCCCTGATGGTTGCGCTGCCCGCGTTTCATCTTTATTAGATTGCCAGCCAGTTGGCTGAGTTGTTGACTCGCAATGCGTGCACCTGTGAGCCCCACCAGCTTCATCGACTATCCAAGAAGAGGCGATCATGCAAATGAAGCGCGCAATGTTTGCAAATGCAGGAAGAGAGGCCTTCTCAGCACCGGCGGCGCCAGCCAGGCGGCGCTCTGCAGCTGTAGTGGCAAGCGCGCCGTACCCCTCGCTATTCAACTGCGCTTCGTGCCTGGCACAGTGCAGCCTACACAGACAGTAGTTGCACAACCTGCAGGTGCTATGGCGAGCCCGCCAACAAAAGGCTGGTGGTCGCTGGTGAACCGGGGCACCGGCGAGCAGCTGGAGGACCTCGAGGCAATCCTGAATGAGCCCGAGCCGACACCGGCAGCGTCGAGGGCAACGGCGGCAGCGGCGGCAGCGGAGCCTGGCGACGTGCTGCCGGTGTCCAGCAACAGCCCGTTCCCGCGCCTGGCTGAGAGCCCAGACAAGCTTGGGCGGCTGGCAGCAGCCGGTCCCCCGCCGACTACCACGACAGCAGCAGCAGCAGCAGCAGCAGCAGCAGCAGCAGGGCAACCCACCGGCACCAGCGCCTGGGCAAGCTACTTGCCCAGCGTCACAGCTTGGCTCCCTTCAACGGCAGCCCGCCCTGGGGTGCAGCAGCAGGAGCAGCAGGCGGCAGCAGTTTCGAGGGAGCAAGGCGCCAGCTGGAGGAGCCACGCACCCGGATTCGGGGAGGGTAGCAGCGCAGCTGCATTGGCGTCGCCACCTGGGCACGCGGCAGCACCTGGCGCGAATGATGTGCCGCAGCCTGGCAGCCGCCACGACGACAGCAGCCAGGCTCTTGCGGCTGGCACCGCCCTCACCGCCTGGGCTTTGCAGGCGCAGCAACAGCTGTCAGCGGCCTGCCACGCCACCGCCCAGCAGCTGGCGGCGGCCGGCACCACCGCCGTCGGCGTGTCGGTGCTGGGGGCTGCAGTGGGCGGCGTCCTGGCGGGGCCGCTGGGCATGGCGGCAGGTGCCAAGTCGGGGGCGGCCATCGTGGCGGCGGGCGCTGTGGGTGGTGCCGCAGTGAAGCAGCTTGCGCTGGGCGGCATCCACCCAGCGGCCCTGGTGCCGGCGGCGGGGGGCAGGCAGGAGCGAGAGATGCAGCCCTTGAGCCCCGCTGCAAAAGCTGCTCGCCAGGCGCAGGAGACCGGCGAATGAGTGTGATGAGAGCGCTGCCTAGCGGCTGAACTGCCAAACCTGTACTCTATCCTGTCAACCATGCGCTTTGTGCCTGTACAAGATGCTTATGTACCACTCCCACACCACTCGTCCTGAACTCCTGCTTCAAAATGCTCATGTTGTTTGTAATTTGTTTCTATCAAGCGCCCACACGGGCGGCCAGTGCCTTACATGATGGGTGCAATCAAGACGCACAGGTCAGGTTGGTGGTGGTGTGTGCGGTCAACAGTGCTGAGGTAAGGGAGCAGGCAGATGCAGAGGTGAGACAGCGGAGCACAGAAAGGAATGCGGAACTGCGGTGTGCAAGGCAGCTGCGCGGGAGCAAGCAGAGAGGTGCAAAGACGGACAGGAAAGGATGCAGGCCGCATCTGTGCAAGGCGGCAGGGGGAGAGGACACCAAGTGGAAGGCTGGGTGGGGTGTCTGGTGCACGGCCACCGGCCACCGCTGGCGCTGCTGCCGCTGCGTCACTGCCTGTTGGCAAAGGAGATGGCCATGGGCTTGTCTGCATGGGCAGAGCGAGCGGGCAGGGTAGGTACGCACACCAGGCAGGGAAACGTGGGGCCTGGGCTGGCACAGGCAGCGAGCGCCTGGCATCGCATGGCATGCCAACGCAATGCACGCCAGGCTCTCTCCCTGCAGCCTCCAGGCCACGCACCTGTCGCCAGCTTGAAGCCCTGCAGCCCCTGCATGGCCACCCCCGCCTGCCCCTCGTCCGAGTACTCCACAAACGCGATGCCCGGCTTCGCGGGCACCATGCGCACCTGCAGTCCGGCCGTACGGGAGGGGCACATGTGGCAGCAAGCGACACTTGGGGGCCCGGCTTGGGACCAGCACAGCCCCAAGCAGAGAGGAAGCCGTTGGGCTCACGCTCCTGTCATGGTCCCTGATGGGTTCCTTGGTTTGTCTGGGGTTGCCTCACGCGCACCCCATCCCTGCCAGCACCCTGCCCTCCCCGTGCCGCGCCCCGCACCTCCTTGAACCCCGTGAACTGCTGGAAAAGCATGCCAACCATGGCCTCGTTGGCAGTGCCTGGCAGGTTCTCCACAAACAGGATGTGGTTGGGCCCGCGCGGCTGCCCCGCCGCCGCCGCCGCCGCCGCCGCCGCCGCCGCCGCATCGGGCTTGGCCTTGGCGCGCTGCTGGAGCGCCTCTGCGGCGAGCGAGGGGCGGGAGGCGTGAGGCAGGCAGCAGAGCGTGCGCGGTGCAGGGCCGCACAACTCAGCCGCCCTATTGTCAGCCAGAAAGGAGGCAGGGCGCTGCGACCATCTCCAGGCACGACCACCCCGGGACGGCCCGCACCGCACCTGCGGCCGCCTTGCTCTTGACCTGCCGCTCCACCTTGGGCCGCTCCCGGAAGGTGCCGTCCTGCTTGGATATCGCATCCGACTTGGTCTTGGCCAACGCTATCCGCTGCAGGGCGCGGACAGGCAAGCGAGCGAGCTTTGTAGGCATGGAGCTCCAGGCTCTCTCGCGCGCGATACGATGGCAGGCCGCACACTCTGGCAAGCCAGCGGTGCCTGATGCGCTGGCAGCTCTTGCCGCCGCCAGCCCCGCTGTCCGCGCTTCCCTGCCTGTCGGCTCACCAGTGGCTTGTCCAAGAAGGGGAAGCCCTGCATGCAGTCCAGCGCATTCTTGGCGTCCTCTGCCTTCTCAAACACCACCCAGGCCTGGCCGCGCAGGCGGTAGGTGCGCCGCGACACCACATCCAGGATCTTGCCAAACTGGCCGAAGATGCAGTGCATCGCCTTCTTCAGGTCTGCGGCGGGGTGGGGGCGCAAAGCAAAGCGCGAAGAAGAGTGACGCAGGCGACGAGCGCGTGCCGGCGACAGTGCCGGGCGGCGGCAAGTGCAAGCGGGCGCAGGTAAGTGCTGAGGTGGCCGGGCTGCTCATTGGCCGCCGCCGGTGCTGCGCTAGGCCTAGAGTGAGCCAGGGGGGTGCACTGGGCATGGGGTGCCATGATCGCCCGCCAGAGAGCCGCTGGGACCCCACCGGCTCACCATCTTGAGACACCTTTTCCGGCAGATTGTTGACGTATACAGTGTGGCCCTCGTTCTGCGGCGCCGGGGCTGCGGCCCCATCCACCGCCATCGCCTCTCCGTCCGCCATGCCTGCTGCCGCTGCTTGACGTGGGTGATGTTGTTGGGAAGAGGGAGTAGCAGCAAGGCCCGCTGGAGGGTGGGAGCCCGCAGCACGCAGCATGACCGACTTTCCGGCGATTCCTGGCGGCGATTTGACTGTCCCACAAATGATTATGTCCATCGACACAGTTCATGTAGCTATGCAGAGTGGTTGTGGGTGGCCGCTGTCCCCGTCTGTCTCTGCGGCGCCTCTCGCCTCCCTGAACGGCTAGCTGCCCATCAATACCCTTGGATTTGTGAGCGGCAGCGCATGCAGGCGCACAAGAGCCCGCAGGCCACCGCCGCCGGCCACCGCCCACCACCAGCCACCGCCCACAGCCCGCCTCCGCCGGCCACCGGGGCTGCCCTGCGCCTGAGCGATGAGCAGCGTGTGGTGGCGCACGCCCCAATTGATGAGGCGCTGGCGGTGGTGGCGGCGGCGGGAACGGGCAAAACCCACACCATGACGGGCAGGGCACGCTTCCTGCTGGGGCAGGTAAGGAAGACTCGGTGCCATGTAGGCCCAGCCCACCACACCTGTGATGGTTTCCCGCCCCTTCACCACTCTGTCTGCTGGACCCTGGCGCAGGGTGTGGCGGCCGAGGAGGTTCTGGTGCTCACATTAAGCCGCAAGGCGGCTGGCGAGTTCCGGGAGCGCCTGCTGCGCCACGTGCCCGGCGCCAAGGCGGCCACCGTCTGTACATTCCACAGCTGGTGCGGCGGCTGGTCGCAGCAGCCCGGCTCGCTCTACAGTGCAGCAGCATGTATGCGCTGCGCCCTGGCTGGGAGCGTGCATCTGAGGCACTGCGCTGCCATGCCTTGCAGGAGCTGGATGGTGGTGTGGCGGCACTGGCGCGAGGCGGGGTTTGAGCGGCGGCCCACCATCCTGGCGGCAGAGCAGCAGGAGCTGGCCCTCATGCGCGACTGCATCATGTGAGTGTGTGTTGGAGGGGGCAAGGAGGATGCTAGGCCAGTACATGTGTGCAGGTTTGCCGGCAGGCCACTGCGCCAAGCCCCCCACCCGTGCCCCACGCTGCGCCCCACTGCCGTTCGTGCTGCAGGTGGGACCAACTGGCGGCGGCGCAGGCCGAGATGCGTGGCTGGCTGTTCCTGCCGCCGTCGGTGCCGTGGCCACAGGTTGTGGCGGCGGTTGCAGAGCGGCACGCGCCCCTGTTCCACAAGTGCATGCAGGCCGCGCTGGCGGCGCACAGCAGCGAGCAGCAGCCCGGCAGCCGGCCGGCGCCGTCAGCTGGCGAGGCTGCGGCGCGGTCCTTTGCAGAGCTGCCCACCCGGTTGCAGCTGCTGCTGGTGGGGGAGCTGCATGCCTCGCTGCAGCAGCGCTTTGACGGGCACTGCCGCGGCGAGCCAGATGGCGGCGTGCTGGAGCTTCTGGCTGCGGCAGATGCCCAGGCGCTCTTCTTCCTGCGCTGGCTGGAGGGAGAGAAGCGGCGGGGGCACATGCCTGATGGCGCCGCCTATGCCGCGCTGTGTGCGCGGGTGGGGGAGGGGCAGGAGCGCCAGCGGCAGCTGGCGCGGGTGGCTGTCGCATACCAGGCAGAGCTCAGGCGGCAGTGCCTGGTGCCGCTGTCCGACCTGCCGCTGCTGGCGCGGCAGCTGCTGGCCGCGCGCGGTGGCGCGCTGGCCTGGGCCCAAGAGCGATGGACACACCTCCTCGTAGACGAGTTTCAGGACAGCGCTGCCTGCATGGTGCGCTGCGCTGATGCTGCCAGGAGCGTGGCGGGCGGCAGGCGACCAGGCCATCAACGGCTCAAGCAGGCGGGCAGCAGGCAGCTAGTGTGCCACCCGCTTGCCGACCCTGTGCAAAGCTTGCCTTGCAGCTGGACCTGCTGAAGCTGCTGATGGGCCCACGGCGCTCCATCGTGGTTGTGGGCTGCCCCGACCAAACCATCTACTCCTTTCTGGATGCGGCGCCGCAGGCAGGCCTGAGTGCGGGGCTGCTCAGGCAACAGCAGCAGCCGGCTGCTCTGCCCTGGCCCAGATACCCTGCCTGCTCTGCACAGTCGCACGATTTGCCTTGATCGGGCCACCTGCCTGCCACCTGCTCCTCTTTGCCCTTGTGCCACTGCCGGCCCGCAGATCTTTGCCGACTACCAGCGCCACTTTGGTGCTCGCAAGCTGTGCCTGCAGACCAACTTCAGGTGGCGCTGTGGTCGTCGCAGCACAGTGCAGCACAGCGCAGCAGGGCGCCATGCCAACGACAGCATCCCCCTGCCCTCACACCCCTCTGCCGCCCCTGTCCAGGTCTACTGCCGCCATCTGCGCCTTTGGCTGCACGCTGCTGCACGGCAACCGGCGAGACGCAGAGGGGGGCATGGTGCCGGCACGGGCCGGCGCCTGCCGCCCCGTCCACGTGCGCCAGTTCCACACAGCGGAGGAGGAGGCGGCGGCGCTGGCGGACGAGGTGCTGCGGCTGTGGCGGGAGGAGGGCGTGGCGTACAGCAGCGTCTGCGTGCTGTACCGCTGCCTGCGGCTGCAGGGCGCAGAGCTGCATGCCCCGCTCACGGCTTCTCTGCGCAGGTGAGTGCGGGCAAGCGGTGGGTGGCGGTGCTTTCGCTGGGTTGGCTGGGCCGCTAGTCCGCATGTGGTCACATGCATGCACAGCGTGATGCTGGACAGCGGCTGTCCCGCCCGACCACAGCATGCGCACCGCACCTGCCCGGCACCTGCCACCGCTCCCTTCTTGGGTGGCCACGCAGGCTGGGCATCCCTCATGTGATAGCTGGCCACGGGAGGCTGGCGGAGGATCCCGCCGTGGCAGCCCTGCTCGCCTACCTGGCCGCCAGCCTGGAGGTTGACCCGGCCTTTGAGGTGGTGCTGGGCCTGCCCCACCACGGCCTGGGTGAGGAGCCACCCTGTGCTTGCAGGCTTGCGGCGCCTGCACTGCCAGCGCAGGAAGTGCCCTGCACCGCTGGACCAGGCCGTGCCCTGCCATGCCTGACGCTCCCGGCTGGCCGCCTGGTGCAGGGCGAGAGGTGTGCGGCGCGCTGGCGCAGCAGCAGGCGGCTGCGCGGCTGGCGGGGCAGCTGCCCCCCAGCCTGCTGGCGTGCGCGGAGCAGGTGTGCACGCAAGCAGAGGCGATGCTGACACAGGCGCCATGGCAGGGGCAGCAGGCGGCTGTGCAGGTGGGGCCTCAGTCTGCCAGCCAGCTGGAGCATGTGGTCAGCCAGCTGTACACCGGGGACCTTCAGGAGCTGTCCCGCCTGGTACTGCTGCTGCGCGGCATGCGGCGGGCGGTGGGGCAGGAGCCGCTGCCGCGCGCCCTGCGCCGCGTGCTGCAGGACAGCGGGCTGGCAGCCTGGCTGCAGCAGCACGGCCCAGCAGGCGCAGCGGCGGCAGTCGGGTCCCAGCAGCAGCGGCTGGGCGGCGGGGGCGACCTGCCCGCCTCGCTGCGCTGTGTTCTGGACAAGGCTGAGCAGCTTGCGGCGGAGTGGCAGCAGCAGCAGGCGGAGGGACGAGGGCGACGGCCCGCTGGCAGCGGCGTGGGCGGGGCCGCAGATGGCGGCAGCTGGTGCCCGGCGCATGCGGCCGGCGCAGCCAGCCAGCAGGAGGCGGGGGAGGAGCTGGTGCGCGAGCTGCTGGCCCGCCTGGCCACAGACACGGCCGCCGACGAGTGCGCCGTCCAGCGCCGGAGCGGGGCGGCATCACAGCGGCAGCAGCAGGCTCCTGGGTGCGACCCTGGCGCTCTCACCATCGGGACCATCCACTCGGCCAAGGGGCTGGAGTGGCCGGTGGTGCTGCTGCCCAGCGTATGCCAGGGCCTGCTGCCCCTGCGCTTCCGCCCGCCCGCCTGGCAAGCCGGGGACGGTGCTGCCGCCTTGCGCGCCTGCCCGCGGGCACACCTGGAGGAGGAGCGGCGGCTGTTCCACGTGGCCGCCACCCGCGCCCGCGACACCCTGCTGGTCTCCTTTGTGCAGCCGCCGCCGCCGGGCGCGCCGGCGGAGCCAGGTGGGCGGGGGTGGGCTGCCGTCGGAGTGAGGGTGGGCGGATGCGTTGGGTTGGTGGGTGGTCTTCCGCGCTGGGATGGGCCAGGCGTGGGCAGCCAGCCGAGACGCACCAAAGCAAGACACATGCCACCAAGCCCACCACCTCCCAATCTTGCCGCCTACCTGCATGCACAGGCGCCTATGCGCACCCTCACCACACCGCAGACACCCCCCACCCACCCACCTGGCACTCGCTACTGCAGGGGACGAGGAGCTGGAGGCGTCAGCCGCACCGGCACCGCAGCCAGAGCTGGAGCCCGCCGGCGAGCTGCGCTGCTCCAGCATCCTGGCAGGCACGGTGCACCGCCTGCGCCACCAGCCCGACGTGCTGCGCTTTGAGGGGCGGCTGCCGCACCAGGACTGCTGTCAGGCGGAGTGGGAGGAGGAGGAGGCGCAGGCTGGTGGCATGCTGCATGAGGTGGGCAACCGGCCCGGCAGCCACGGCGGCCCTTGCCAGCCGCAGGCTGTGAAGCTCAGCTTGGCGGAGCGGGCCCGGCGCCAGCTGGCGGACAACCCGCGTGCCGGCAAGCTGCGGGCGCGCGGCGGCGTGGCCAAGCAGGCGCAGCGCCAGTGTCCCGCCGCTGTGCTGCAAGGGTGAGGCGTTGGCAGTCCTTGCATACCACTGTAGGCGACGGTTTGTTGACATTGTAATCCAAGTTGGTAACAGCAGAGGAGCGCGGGGCGCCGGATGGAGCGCGGGGCGCCGGATGGAGCGGCAGCAAAGGAGAAGCCATGCATGGATCAGAGGACACAGACAGTTCAAGGCCCAGGCGGGCCCACACGTATGGGGGCAGGAGGCAGGCCGCGTGGCAGCCCGCTGCCAATAATCAAGGGTCGGGCAGGGCAGGGTGGGGTGGGGTGGCCGCCAGCCGGCGGCTACAGCAGCCCACGAGCAGTTGGCGGTGGCAGGCGGGTGGGCTCTCCTGCGGCACCCCGTGCCTGCAGAATGGCCGTGCCTCCGCTGCCGGCCTGCCTCTGCCTCAGCCCTGCTTGCCCAGGTCCACCTTTTTAGCAATCTTGTTCACTTGGTGCACCTGCAGGGGCGGGCAGCAGGGAGGCATGTTTGCTTGATTGGTTGGTTGATTGGCTGATGCAGCGCAGCAGCGTGCCAGGGCAGGCAGGCAGGCACGTTGCGCGCAAGCCTGCCGGTGCGATGGCTGCGCCGGTGCGGCGCCGGTGCTGGGGCCGGTGCTGCGGCCGGGCAGCCCGGCCAGGCGCGCACCATGCCGTCCAGGATGCCCGCCACCGTGAACACGCCGCCGATGACGGCGCAGATGGCGGTCAGGAACTTGTACAGCTGCTTGGGCTGCTCCGTCACCACAATCTGGATGGGCGACATCTTGTACGTGAACTTGGCGGACGCGTGGTCCTCTGCGCGTGTGTGTGGGGGGGGGGGGCACGCTGGTGTGGGAGAGTGCGGCTGCCTTGGCGGGGAGGCAGGCATGGGACGCACGGCGGGAGGCCACAAGGAGACGTGAGGAGCAGCGTAGGCCAAGGCGCAGCCCTGGCCACACGCGGGCCTCTGCTCCCGCCCCACGCAGCGCGCGCGCACACACACTCACACACACACACACCTGCCCCGCCCCCACCCACCGGGCTCACCCGCGTTGTACTTGTGGCTCTGCACCGTGTACTCGTACGCGTCAAACTGCAGCTCGGGGCGCCGCCGCGGCTCTATGGTGGTCAGCACCACCTGCAGCGGGGCAGCAGGCACAGGGCTGTTGCCGTGGGGACCCTCCCCCACACCTTGCTGCAGCTCTTCGGCGTGTGCCGGGCGGCCAGCAGCTGCACGCACCGGCCCTCCAATGCCAACACGCTCCAGGCTGCGCTCCAGGCTGCGGCCGTGATGGCAGCAGGCTGGAGCGCAGCCTGGAGCGTGTTGNGATTGGAGGGCCGGTGCGTGCAGC